CTAAATATAACATGTAGTTTCACATGCCTTTTCCCCAATATTCTTCCAAACCAGTTGCCATCCCTTCAGTTGCTGTTTTTCTTTCATGCAGCAGAATTAAGAATATAAGAAGCAATGGGGGAAAGGATTAAGCTGTCACTAAACCAAGCAACACTATTATTCTAGTCAAACTGAATCTTTTGAGAGTGCATTGGTTAAGGGGGGAAATAATGGAAAGATAGTACAAGGATGATCCATTTCCGAAATAGATCTGAATTATGAGGTAAAGAGGTCCTAAGGGTGTTAAATTCATAGAAGTCATATCTTTGAGATCATTGCAATGGTGCTGCTGTAGAGGTACCATAAACCACAGTGAATATGAGACAATAGCTAAATGTGTCAGTAACATTCCTGGAAAAAGTAGAATAATCATACAACATATTGTTCCATATGTAGTTTGCATTGTGTACCATGTCTGGTGATGTCCATTTTTTTTAGAATGATCTTTCTTCTCTGCTGTTCTTTTTTTGTAACGGAACATATGTATATTTTCTTTTTTAGGTACTGTGAATCCCACCAAATGTTGTTGTCCTTTTGCCTTGAAGATGGCAGCATGTCAGCTTCTCCTGGAGATCACCACTTTTCTTCGAGAGACCTTCCCCTACATGCCCAGGCCACGTACTGAACCTCTTGTGGTAAGAGAAAGGAAGGGATGAATCTGGGACATAAAAGGATAAAGTTGCAGAAGGAGGGAAAGGTGTGGGTAGGGTGACCAAAAACCAACTGTGTAGCTAAAGAAATGTATTGATAAGAAAAGGTAGCGTTAAAAATATGGTATCCAAAATGGCTGGTGATTTATTCATAGGTCTTGAAAAAAAATGATTTCTCAGAATGGATGAATGTCAATTCAGTCCAACCATTCTTGAAATTCTGAGTTTAGTTTAGATACATAGAGGTGTCTTTAGGGGCAGGAAGTGGTGGCAACCAAAATATAAAAGCAGCTTCCAATTGATGCTCTGAAAGCTTTGCCTATTTGTATGTGCTTTGTGATGTCTCATGCACATACAAAAGGTGCAAAGCTTGGGTCAAAATGATGTAATACTGTTTTTGTAATAATGACAAAAGTTTTGGATACTACTTTGATAACAGAATTATAAGAGCAGCCAACAGTAATATGAAATAACATAATTAACATTAAATAATAAAAATACCATCTTCTCAAGTTAACATAGGGAACCAGTTATAAAATCAATTATTTTCAGTCTTGCCACCTACTTCATGGAGTCATTGTGAAATGACAGGATAAAATCTAATGCAACATTTACACTTCCTTCTCAGTTTGAAGTCTTTCTTGCATCAGAAGAAAACCTGAAGGCCTGTCTTATTTATACATTTGCTCTTCATACACTTCTATGGTTATGTGATATTATAGGATCTGGAGAGTTGCAGGTTGCGTTTGGATCCTGAGATGGACCGACACAGGTATGAGAGGAAGATCAGCTTTGCTGGGGTTTTGGATGAAAATGAAGATTCAAAAGATTCCTTACACAGCAGCAGTCATACCTTGAAGTCTGACACAGGTTGTGAAGAGAAGAAAGGTTTGTTGCCTACTGAAGCTTCTGTTTTATTGCAAACTCTAATGTGGTTGTGGACAGCATGTCCTTATTTCCCAAAAAATAATATTAGAGAACAGCAAGCTGAATCAAATCTATTCATATTTATATGTGTTTTTTGGCACTTCAGACCGAAGCATATTTGAAAAGTGGTATTTCAGTGGAACTGTTGTGCCTAGGTGTAGTCTGTTAGCCAAATTCCTTATAACCAAATTAAGCCTTCTTCTTCTTCCTCTTCCTCTTCCTCTTCCGGAGTTGTTATTTTTAATTCTCCAGTGCAAATTGTTATAGAACAGTTACTGCCATGAGATTAAACCATTTAAATAAATCAAATACCTTTCAGTTTTTGGAGCACTTAAAATCATATTTGTCTGCACTGGATTATAGGCAAATTTAATAAGGAGACATTGCATCAATATTTTAGTGTGCTTTAATGTTTTGTTTAATATATGAAAGAGCAACAACTTCATGAAAATGCAACTTAAAATAATTTATTATCTTGCTCCTTCTAACTTAAACAAAAATTACAACATGCTTAGAACTCATCTGCTATGTGGCTCTTGTTCGCTAATTCCAAAATGCAATATGTAACTTCAAGGCTTAAATTACTGTGGTTACTACAGGCAGCAGAATGTCGATCATTATAATGCCATCTCATGCATAAAAACAACCACCACTACAAATCTCATTCTATTTTAAGGTTCAAGTGTTGCAATGCAAAATAGAGCCAGTAGCTACTTAATTTACAATTGCATATTGTACATAATAGCCCAACATATTGATATGACAGAGTCTAACTGGTAAAGTACATTGTTTTCTTTTTGCAGTTAAAAATGTAAAAAATATATATAACAGTAGTTTTAAAGAGATAAGATACTATGATTTATGATGCCATGATAAACTGTAAGATAAACTATGAAGAAACAAATTGTATTATTTTGTTGAGTCCTGAGTCCTGGTTGATTCCCTTACATGGGAAATCACCCTTCTTGATGCAATTCTGATTTTCCATTTTTGCTATTGCATCAGTTCCTTTTTCTGAATATCTAAGTATAGATGCCTGGTGTATAGGATTGTCCTGACAGTTGTACTTCCTATGAGGAGATGGGACTCCACTTTGGAATTTACAGCTAGTCCCAAATCCACATCCTTAGCACACAAAAATGGTAATGGGATATGTTCAGTGTCTGGACATTTAAGTTGCATAAGCCTGCTGTAGCACCACAATTCTCAATACAGTTATGTGAAAATAGGAATGAGTGGTACATGAAAATAATTGGGGAAGACTGGAGATGCTTTTAGGAAGGTATTACATTCATCAACAGAACTGGTGGGAATAATCTAAAACTCTCCATGCTGAATATCCCCCCTGGAAGTAGCTGTATTGGAAAGGAGCATGTGGCTTGGTACTTCCATATCAGGGAGATGCCTCTGACGATGTGTATGAACATGGCAGCCCTTTTTTATTGGCTGTACCTGTGCACTAGCATTTTTTTTTTCTCCCTAGCATTTTTCCCGCAAGTGCAGGGTCCTCCCCCCCCCCCCCCCCGCCAACCAAATGTTGATTTATTGGTTGCAACAGGAATTGACTGACTGACTTGTCACCTAAGCCCAACGTTGTGGGCTGAGAGAGAGTGACTAGCCCAAAGTCACCCAGCCAGCTTTCATGCCTGAGGCAGGACTAGAACTCACTGTCTCTTGGTTTCTAGCTTGGAGCTTTAACCACTAGACCAAACTGGTAATTTACCCCTGTGTACTAGCAATGCCTGACAAACATGGTCAAGATGGACCAAATAATATTTCCTCCATTTAACTGTCCACACAAATGTATCTCTGGTTGCCCATTCTCAAGCATAGATTTAAATATGGTAGGGTTTGCACAGACAGCTTATTGAAACTGACAAAGAATCATTTTTAAAGTAGATTATAAATTCATCTCACTTTTAATTTGTTGTTTTATGTCACTCTGTTCATTCGTTAGTGGGTTAAAAGTATCATGTTGTGTAAAATTGGCTCCTAATTTGCAGAAGAAATTATTTCCTGATCTCTGTGAAGTGTTAACAGAATTGTATATATATGTGTTTTATCTCTGTGTTCCATTTTCATAGATACTGGTGATATCCTCAGTTAAAGCACTGATCAGAGCAAACCCTGGGTGCTTTCCATTAAACAAAGAAATATATATATCTATATCTTTGTTTAATATAACTCACATTTAATTATTGATTATAGTTTATTACACTAATTAACTAAAAGTATCCAAGAAGATGTGCAACTTCAGAAACAGAAATAACAATTAAACTTTAATCAATGCAATACAATAAAATAAATCAGCCAGTGAAAACATAACAAAAAGACATTAAAATGCAGTAACAATCACAGCCCAATGAAAGCAGTGTTAATGATTTTGAAGAAAGTGTTAACATGTTTTCTCTTATAACAACTTTATTCAGAATTTATTTTTATATTACATAGGGCACAAGGGATTTTTCTATTCAAGATTAGACTGTAAATGTTGGATTATTAATATGTCTAGTATGTTATGGAATGTGACAAAATAAACTTCCATAATGAAATATTTTCTAATTTGGCCAAGTCATTTTGGGTGGGATTTATTAGTATCAAAACTAGAGATATGGATAAAAATACTGATACAAGAGCCCAGGTTCCTTATATTACTTCTACAAAACTGGTATCTGGTTTTTCTGACAAGTTAGACTTCAAATTGCTTTGGAAACATTTGAACATTTTCCTCTTTTATTTATTTATCATTATATTTAATAATAAGCTGTTTTAAAAATTATGTAAACCTTTGATTTTGCAGTCACTGAATGTTAGGTTGAAACTTTTGATCCAACTCAAAATCTGTTATTGATTGCATACACTGAGTATTGTAGCTGACTACAGCTTGAACTGCTCTACTGAGGTTTTAACAGATCATGGAATTAAAATCCTGCATTCAGAAGATTGTTCTACACTACAGATTCAAATAGGTTAAATAAGGATTCCCTCTTACTGGGAAATTATAATTGATACGACAGCTACAGCTAAAGTGGAGAAAGGAATGATCCTTACCAATGCCCAGGATAATTACCTATTATTGAGAAGAAGAAATCTTCTTTGTGGTCAAGAACCAGTACATAATTAAACTCAACAGTATAAAACAGGTTACATATATATAAAAAGAACAAATCATAAAATTAACTATTTTCAATAATTATATGTTATTGAAAGTGTGACCATGAAACTAGTGTTTTCGCATTGCTAAAACAAAGTTTTTAGTTTCTTTCTTTTGGGGGAGTCAGGAACAACAACAATGCATTTTAAGGAATTGTTAGAATGGGTGAAATACAAACCATAAAACAATATAAACTCCTTAGTTCCCAGTCAAAATATTTGTACACTTTAGTGAAACTTGTATGGAATACAGCCTTAATGTTATTGTTGCTGTGTTACTTAATAATAAATTCTTCTCCTTTCTTCTTTTCCTTCTTCCTCCGTTCCTTTTTCTCTTTCTCTTTTTCCTTCCTCTCCTTCCTGCTTTGGTTACTGATTCTAATAAAATGTATTTTAGAAATAGTTTTCTATTACAGGAATTATTTGGCTGCATTTAGCTTATAATTTTTCATAGAAACAGCAACAACATGCTTGTAGCACGTTAAAAAGTTACGAGATGCATTGAAATGTAAGTTTTTAATATCAGGTAGATTTTTAAAAAAGTTATTATTAATTCATGCATCCAATAAATTTGCTGTAGTCCCCAGAAACTTATTTCACAATTTATCTCTTATCCTTTAAGACACTGTGCAAGATCTTTCATTGATCTTGCCAGAGGAGTAATATGATACTTCTCTGATAGTTTGTTACACAATGTGCCATTTTCAAGCTAGTCAACAAAACTACAAAGTGAAGTAAATGCAAATAAAATTTCAGGTTAATCATATGCTAAAAGTGATCACTTGTAAAGAAAATTGTGCATTCACCATGGTGGAGTGCAAATCTGTAAATATCAGGATTTCCCCCTTCCCAGCTATTTAAAAGCCCAGATCTTAACAAGTTTAGATAATTCTTCTTTCATCATTGCCCTTTCTTCTGGCCCCAAGTGACAACTATCATTTCTTCGTATTGTGACCTGTGTGCCGTGTGTTCACTTTTAAGTAGATGTACAGCTGAGTGTTGCAACATTTGGACATGCATATTGCCCATGTACTGCCTTAGAGCTGAGTGGAGAACAACATGCCAGTGACTGGTGCTTGAAACCATTCCATATATTCGTGCTCATTACAGACACACACACACACATACACACACACATGCACACACACATAGACACACACTGCATCCACAGATGTCTTTAATGCCTGAAAACTTCTGAACTATCTGAAGAGTGGGACCACATGTTGTTGCTTTCTCTGTAGAATTCTGGTGAAGTTTAATGTGCAAAGACGACGATTTATACAAAGGTAACATTCAGAGTGGATAAGCAAAGGATGTGTCTAGCTTAAGCAAGCAGGCCACCTACTTACGACTACAGTTGCTGCATGACTGAGAGTTATGATTCTGTCACAAAATTTAATCAGCCTTGGGCTAGCCTTGATAGAACTTGCAATTCAGTCATGGATAGCCAGCGACGGGTGTCAATGGAACGGCAGAAGCCTTACTAGCAAACATGGAAAGAGAATTGTTCTCCTGTGTCAATGAGAGCAAATTGTTTGGCACTAAATATAGCTTTTATGGTTTAGCCGTGGGGTTTCCAACAATGCTGACTGTAAAGTATTTGAATAACACTAATGGCTGGATTGAGGTGCAATATAATCTGAGTAATAGACTGGTCTTACCTTTCGCTAAGGCAACCCATATGGGATGATTTCTAGAGCTGCCTTGGTGTTGCTTTGGAGGGAGCCTCTTGCTGGTCTTCCTTGAGAAAAGGAAAAAGGCACTGCAATGCAGAAGGAGGAGGGGGGAGGGTGAAGAGTATCAATTTATACAAAATATACATCATTCTATTACTTTAAAATGGGGGGAAATAAGGGGGAAAAAGTCCTCTTTTATTCTTTTAATACAGTTCCCAGCAGGAAGATCAGGATAGGAGGCTCCCGCTTGCTCCAGATTAAAGGAACCCGCAGTTTCCGGGTGAAGAGAGGGGGTTCCCTGTCCAGCATTCGCCGGGCCGGCAGCCTAAAGAGCACCAAGTTATCCCGTCAGGACTCAGAGTCTGAGAATGAGGAGCTGCAGCTGTCCCACAGCAGGGACACTGTCACTGACATAGGTAACACAGATGAGCTTGGTTAAAAAAAAGGGAGAGGGATCATGAGGTAGCAGCATCCTTAACTTAGGAGGTCTAGGAAGAGGGCTGGGAGGCTAGGCAGGCCCCCCGTGGCCCAAGCTCGAAGCAGGAGTTCCCCTTTCTTGCATGGGCTTAATATTTGGCAAGGACAGAGCTTGAACCCTGCCAACACATCGTGAAGTAGTCAGTGCTGCTCCACTCAAAGGACACCAAATTTGATGCGTGGACTCAGTGTACAGGCATTTTCCTGACTGCCAAACAAATGCATGCCATGATTAGGAAGGTATATATAAAAACATCATATATTATATATCAGCGGCATATATAATATATATGGTATTGTATATATACACTCACTCTTTCTCTCTCTCTCTCTCTCACACACATACACATCTCATATCAATAGTATGTACTATGCATATACTTATATATACAATATGCATATATTTTGCTTTCTCTGAGATAAATATATGTGTACTCGTCAATCTCCAAAATACTTGTTTCCAGAGATTTATTTTAGAGAAGAACTCAGGGACAGATACATCCTAAACCTGAATCTCTTTTCCCCTTGTGGGTCTCAGTGGTATTGTCCGTGCTCTTCCTCTTCTGTGTAGAAATACAAGTGAAGTGCATATTTGCTTTAAGGGGTGGGGGAAGGATGTAATTGGAAATACTGCCTCTTTTAATAGTCTTAGTACAATCCTACGCATATCTTCTCAGAAATAACTCCCATTGAATTTAGTGGTGCTAACTCCCAGGCAAGTGGATATGGGATTTCAGCCGTAATATTACAATACAGTACTGTAAGCAAATTGTGTGCTAAAGATCTATCTGATTGGAAGGCCCATTGGCAATAAATGCATGCAAGAAACTCAGGGGTCTCAGGGAGCATTCCCCTCCCTTTGTTCTCAGATGTTCATCAGGATTTTTCCTCTTTCCTCCCCAAGTGTTCTGGAATCCCCCAGTAGGACCTCACAAGGCAGTAGCTGTAGCAAGCTGCTGCCACTGCAGGACTGCATGTATTATCTTTCTTGAACAGGGAGCCCAGTCAATGCAGATCACTGAAACCAACAATTGGCAGCAGCATGATTATGCAAGAATTTTGTTTCCACTTATTCACCTTCCCCTCTTCCAGAAAAGGGAACAGTGTTTATCCCTGATTAGGGGTCATTTCCATGGTGACTATAAATTATGCTTGTAATGATCAGCCGAGCTAATCATCAGGGACATGGAAGAAGGGTTGGGGGTGACATTTCTTTAGTCTAACTCACATTCCTTCCTGAAAGGCTTGGCCTATTGGGAATGGTATGCTTCTGGCATATTATTCTGTTCTCTCCAAAAAAATAGAAGGGAAAGAAATCAATTGGTTTCAAAACCCTGGTCTGGATTACAAGCATATATATTAGCTTAAAAATATGTAGGAAGCATCAGAAGACAACTACTTTTGGGTGTATTTTTTTTTTAAGAAGGAAGCCCTTGGAGTGCAAGTGAACCCAGTATAGAACCTGAAGTGCTCAGCAGCACTGGAACAGAAGATAACTATCACCGGAATATGTCTTGGCTGCATGTAAGTAGAGTTTATTTGTGGTGTTCTAGAGTTCCCCCTGAAATACATGGCATTCATAGTTTGTCATCAGAGCAGAGGGGAATTAAGGCTGTTCTTTTTTATGAATAACAAAGCTTCAACTATTCCGTAATTTAATGATCCCATCCCCAGAAACATTCAGAAGCTCCATTAAGGAAAGTTAGGAATGGAAGCTGTATATATTCCATAGAACAATTTACAATGGGCCTACTTTTGCCAGGGCTCCCACTGCAAGGTATTTGAACTCTGAAAGAAGAAGCCTACCAACTGAAGCACTAGAGCTGTGAGTTTCTTCCTAGAGCTATGTGCGCCCAAAAAGATGTCCTCTTCTATGTAGTGACTTGGTTAATTGGTGGATTTTCACCTGGAGGATGTTTGGTGGGCTTTGAAGATCAGTGAGAATGGATAGGTCAGGATGGATCAGAAAAAGTAATGTGATTAAAAACGGTGCATTTCCAATGTGTCTAAATCCTATATCCTGAACCAAATTAAGATGATTTAGATAGATTTAGAGGCCCAGTTTAAAGTGGGTTTCCTTTGAAATGAATCTAAACCCTTTCAACCCTTATAGTTGTTTCCTAGATTAGTAATATAGCAACATGCCCCAGAGTCTTTCAAACACAAGTCCAGAAGCAAAGGGAAGTAATGTGGACAGATCTTTGAACTCCTGAGGCAAAGCACAACCAACTTAGTCTAGCTGTATTTCTAAATCTCCATGATGCTCTGCTCCTGATCTGTATCTCTTGAGCTTTGGGATGGTAGTGCTCTTATTGAAACTCTTTATTGGATGTCTGGTGGCAAGGGGAGGGAAGGAGGATTCAGAAACTGGCTAGTGTATCTTCAATTCAAGGTGTGCTTTGTGATCAAGCAAACTGAACCTGTCAAATATCAAGCTAAGCTTTTTGCCAGTTAAATAGTGAGTTGGTATATTAGTAAAGAATAAATTCAAACTTATTAGAAAATGAAATGTGGAGAACTGGTTACCTGTAGTTTTTCTTCAGTTATTTCATGCCCTCTGCAGTTAGAGGATAGGGTCAAACAGAGCTTCAGCTTTCAAAATACTGGCTATTAAACCAGGCACACGTGGTTTAAACATGAGCTTACTACAGGACAAGCCAAAGATTTGCCTTAGAGTGCAATGACTTATGAATAAATTTTTCATTGTAATTTTATAGTAGTATCTTTAGTTACTCAGCTCTGAGGTCTGGGTGCAGCTAGATGATACAAATAGGGAACTGCAAAATTAATAAACAAATAAATAAGAAAATGGAGAGGAGAGGGAGAGGAAATGTAGACAAAGTTTTCCCTCTCCATCACTATCACACCTTTCTGCTTTCTGATTCTTCAAGGTGACCAATTGTTTTCCATGTCTGGGATTGATAAATTCAACCCAGAATAAGCAATCATAGCTACCCTGCCAAGAAAAATTGGGCTGTAGAAGGAGGATTGCTGAAGCGATGACTATCTCCAGAAATGAAATTTGGTACACCCATCTGGCAGGGAGCAATTCCTGTGCTTAAGCTAGGCACCTCTGAGCAAAGTAGCAGCACTGGTAGATCCTGAAACTCTGCCATGGCCTCTGGAACAAAGGAAAAGGTGCTTGATTTCACTTTGTCCTGGAGCATTACATTGATCTACTGAACAAAAACGTTCAAGTATTGAGGTTAATGAGTATGAGGCATTTGCTCAATCTGTCATCTATGAGTTAATTGTCAGAGATAGTGAAATATTAAATGGAAGAGGATGGGGAAGGAGAAAAATTGTTTGAAAACATTTCAAAGTTTTTGCTATCCACGGCTTTTGCTACCTAAAAAAGGATGTTCTTATAATCTTCTCTTGGCACAAAGACAGTGCTGCAATTCTATAAACATTCATACTTCATGTTTCCAGGTGATGATCCTTCTGTGTAACCAGCAGAGTTTCATTTGTACCCATATTGATTACTGCCACCCTCACTGCTACCTCCACCACAGCCGTTCATGTGCACGCCTTGTCCGGGCCATCAAGCTTTTATACGGAGACACTGTGGATTCACTCAAAGAAAATAACTTACTAAACAGTGTGGCCCGAGGCAAAAAACAAAAAGAGGTAAGCAAGTTAATCAATCAATCAATCAATCAATCACTCGTTTTTCAGCTGCTTTCACATTTATTTCAGACTGTCAAACTCGGCTGCCAAGTCCTTGCAGGTGAATAGATGTGGGGGGAGTTTCTAAGAATTATGTTTAATATAGGATCCTTCTTTAGTGAAACTATGTATTTTGATACAGGGAGCAAGGGGGCAAATGAATAATGAAGCAAGCATCATGACAAAGGCTTCATCCCTTTTGTGCATGCGTCATTTGTTGTCATACAGATGTTGTGAGGGGTGGAGCTGGCCTCGCAATATTTGTTTCACCATTTTGATGAAATGGTCTGATTCTGTGAAACTGCATCATTTTGGAAACAGATTGGGCAAAGAAAGAAATTTCAGCTTCTCTCATTATCAGTGGTTCCTGGTCAACAGGGGAAAGCTGCATTATTTAAGTGTATTATTGTCGGATTTAGAGACATAATGGGACCCCCAGCTTCCACTAATGAGATAATTTCTGAAAGCATTCAGCATTGTTTAGATCCAATTGTCTTTCAGTGTTCAGACAAGTCATGCCTCAGAACACCCTCCCTGAAGAAAAGAGTGATGGATTCTAATCTTGAAGGAAAAAAAGACTCTGGAATGCTGAAATACATTAGGCATCAGGTAACATGAATTTCTGTTACTTACAGGAATGTTCCACTAGTCGAACATTACGTTTAGCCTTTAATATATGGGTCCCTGCTATGGAAACCCTAAGGAATCTTAAGCCTGTGAATTGCTCCATTGGCTTATATTTAATTATCTGTGGTGTCTGTTGCATTGTCTATGTAACATGGGATGGAAACATGATTCAGCTCCTTACACTGCCTTGCACTGAGTCCCTACAAGCCTAGTAATATAGGTCTCTGTGAGGTATTTCTCAGCACTATAGGAATGTCACATTTACCTGACATGCATGAATTTGGTGTAGTTTTAGTAGATAATTCAAATTATCTAATTTATCTACTGTAGATGCTATCTAGATAAAAATATCCCCCAATTAACACTTGCATTGTCTTCTTGGATCATTTTTTATAATCACTTTGAATAATAGATTGTCTGGCACCAGCAGGGGCTCTGTGAAGAAGCTGCAGTCTTCAGCACTTTTATTGTGTGTGCTACCTTGCCCTCAGCAGAACATGAATATGTTTGTGAGGGCCACAATTTTCACTACTTGGTGCATGGTTTCCTTTCACAGGTGATGAGCCTGTCTCCAGCACCACTTTCACTGTTAATCAAGGCAGCTCCCATCCTTACAGAAGAGATGTATGGGGACATCCAGCCTGCAGCATGGGAGTTGTTGCTCAGTATGGATGAGCACATGGCTGGTGCAGCAGGTAAGAGGCTCTTTTCATATTCCAAGAATGCTTTCAGGAGTGCAAAAATCAGCCCTACAGAATTGGAGCTACTATAGCAGTTTCACCCAGCTTTGGATTCTGAGGATTTTCAATCTAGTGCTACAGAAATCTTCTTCCTCTGCATTTTGAGAGCCTTGCCTATGCAGCCTACAGTTATATGCATTGCCACCTTGTCTTCCTCTTTGTGACCTTTCCCTGTTTGAAATTCAAAGACATGGAGGCCAAGTACCTGCTCCTTTTGTTACTAGATCTGCTCATCAGCTTAAAGTGTGCTTCCACCTCTCAGCTTCAAGTACATCTGTAAAATAATAATGTTTCCGGATTGTAAAAAAAATATGCTTCATGGGATATTTGCTTCCCGCAGCTGCCATGTTCCTTCTGTGTGCTGTGAAAGTACCAGAGGCAGTTTCAGATATGCTGATGTCTGAATTTCATCACTCGGAGGCAGTGCAGAGGTTGAATGCCATCCTTAAGTTCCACACCCTCTGGAGATTTAGATATCAAGTATGGCCTCGCATGGAGGAAGGAGCTCAACAAATCTTTAAGGTAAACTATGTACCATCTGATATATTTCCATGTTGTAAGTATTATGTACACAGAAATATCACTAGTACTTGAGTTCAGTGACACTTAGGCCAGGTAGTAAATATATGTTGCAGCCTAAACTTTCACAATCTATTATGCTAATTCGAAGTTTACAAAATAGCATGTTGGCTTTCAAGTTTCCAAGAACTTTTCATCAAGTAAAATGGCTAAACTAACAACAGCAACAAAAACCCTCAATAATTAAAAACAAAAACAAAAGGATGAGAGATGAAATTTTGAGCTCTGGTGTCTGCACCATCTTCCATGGAAGGAGGGAATAGCCTGACTGCAAACTGGATCCTTTGAAATATAGAAGTGATATTAGCCTATATCAAGGATTCACATAGTGATGCTCTTAATCTTTTTTCTGGCCAGATATAAATGGTCTGGTGCTCCATCTCCCTTCATTGAAAATCCTTATGAAAGAAGGTTGACAGTCTTTATGGTTTTATCACAAACTATGTGATTCAAAATCTGCCAAATTCATATTACAGCCAACTTGATTGTGGCACTTACCGCTGCCTTTTTCACCCATTGTCCAGTGGCTAGCATGTTGACCAGACACTATCAACTAAATAATTGTTTGCCAGTTACAGCATTATATGAGAAAAGGGTGTAAGAGCAGGTTCCCTCAGCACCTAAACCTCAAAACTAAAAATATATTCTAACTGAATTTTGGATCTTCCATTAGTTGGATTCCTCCTCATGCCAACCAAGAAATCAGTTATTGGTTATCTACAACTACTAGCTGATATGGTTCAATTTTGCCATCAACTCTGAATAGAATTTTATCTTGTTCAGTAGACCACATCTCTCATAGTCATGAGAGGGTTGTTCCAGATTCTCGGTTTTCCTTCTTAATTTCTTCTGGGGACTGATTTAACTCACAAGAGTCACCTTGTTTGACATGGGCAGCTATATAAATATGATACATACATACATACATACATACATACATACATACTCTTCTTTTGCCTTTGTGGAGATACATGGAGAAATAAACTTTCCCTGGATAGTAATGCTAAAATTATAAGTAACCAACTGCGATCTTGCCCTATCTGTGGGAAGGGCAAAGCAGTGTTTTGTAAGCTGTGGAAAGGTCTGGAGAAAACATTGCAGAGTTTAAATCTTGGAGGGTATAAGATTTTATCAGAAGCCTTAATTATAAGAAAACTGTCAATTGTTTAAAGCAGTTTCTGTCATAGTGAACCATACAAATTCTCTAATAACTATGCCATAGGAGTTTCTGAGAAGATTTAACCTAGTTGGAGCCAGATGGCAGGCAGAGCTCTAGTTTTTAGAAGTAATGATAGTGAAATTCTGGTATACCATTTTTGAGGAATGCTATGAAGCAAATGACACACTGTAATGGAAAAATAGCCTTGTTCTTTATATTTGTTGAAGTGTGAATGAAACCATTTACAGGGTCTTGCCATAGCCCTTTGAGATAGGTAACGTCAAGAAACAGGCAGGCACAACATGGATTCCAGGAATGCACTTTATTTTTGTAGGGTAAAATAACGGAATCTTGAAAGTCTGTCAGAGTTTCTCTTTACTCTATCTTATACCAAAGAAAATCAAGGTGGGGTTATTTTCTCAGGGCTGAGTCATCTTTTCTACAACTCCTCTGTTAACACCTTGCTCATTCCTTCTCCATCCTCAAGGCCAGGTCCGCATTCCTTCACCTTTGCAGATTTATCGTTCTCCCATATGAATGGCTCTTTAAGCCCTATAATTTATAACTGGAAGGAAATACTATATCAGCACTATGTTTGTCAAGGCATATAGTAAGATAATATAATGAAAGAAAAATGACCAAGTTCTTTGGCCTTCAAAGCTCTGTTTCCTAATACTGGTGCTTTTTTTCTGGATGCTCTGTAATGAGGAAAACAACAGCAACAACAGTGTACAACTTCCTGGATATATTCCAAGGCCTGAGAAAATTGTTCTCCCTCCTAGATCAAAGCTAATTTTTCTGTTATTTCAGGCAGTTTTGACAGTGGCTTGGCCAAACGGTTTGTTTGCCTAGATAAGAAACAATTTGCTTTATATCTAATTTATGTATTGTAGTTGCGTCAAATAAATAAATAAGTAAATAAAGGAACCCTAACTCAACCACAAAAAACTAAAAAAAGGAATTATTTGCATTTCCATTGTCTTATGTGAGGGAAAGTGTATTTTCTAATTCCATCTTTCATCTCAGGATAGAATTAAAGAAACTGACATGTTTTGACTCTGAAACATTTCCTTGTTCCTTGAAAAATTTATCTTCCGGAGAGAAGAACAAGAGGTATTACTATGATATTTCATCTTCTGAACTTATTTTTATAGATTCCTCCACCAAGCATTAACTTCACCCTGCCCTCTCCAGTGCTTGGAATGCCATCAGTCCCCATGTTTGACCCACCGTGGGTTCCCCAGTGCAGTGGGAGCGTGCAAGATCCCATCAATGAAGATCAATCTGTAAGTATAACATTCCTTGAAACAGGCATCTTTATTTTATAAATGAGAAGCTAACTGCGGTAGAGTGTGAAGGCAGGGAGAAAAAAAATATATATAAAGCAGCTTAATAAATTCTTAAGGCATCTCTTAGAAATAAGATTGACTGGTGCATGTTTAGTCTTTACAATTAGACAAATGATCTGTGTAACCTAGAATAGCTGTAGAAGGCTGATAACAAAAACAGTTCTACAGACATGTATTAGAATTTATTAAACTGCATGTTTAGAAACAAAATCCAAAGACTAAGTCCAGGCACAACAATCTAGAATACAAGTATAAGGATTTATTTTTTTCTCATACAGAGAAAAATACTGCAAAATCAGCCCAAACTAGTTAACCAAATTTTACACTTAGGCATTCTATGGCTCCTTTTCATATGTCTGTGTGATAAGTGGGGCCTGGAAACAAAAATAGATGAAACATTAGTGTCTGCTCAGGAAGACTGAAAGTCTAATCGTTTATGAAGGGGGATATCACATGATGTTATAAAGAAGATAGCAATTGCTTGCATATTGTTTACATGTCTGGGTGCATTGCACTTCCATATACTTTGCCTGAGAAAATATTTGCCATCTCCATTTATTTTGTGACATTGTCTAGATTATTACTCAGTATGTTCCAAGTGATCATTTACTTCCCCTCTGATTTCTTTCCACCCTGGCACTGAGCTGATAGGGAAGCGTTGGACAGATTTTTGGCCACCCTCAGCTATACCCATTAAAAGAATCATGTTTTTTCCCCCTTTTAATTTCTGTGGGTGGCTGCCAGCTCCATACTTCAGACATTTAAAAATATTTTTTTTATTTATTTATTTATGTATTTATTTATTTATTTATGCCATTTATATGGTTGCCCAACTCACTCACAGTGACTCCAAGCAGCTTACAGAAATAAAACCCCAAATACAAATCCACTACACTCCCACCCCCCTGGCAACAACAATGCATTCAAGCAAACCACTTGATGCGCTCCATCTCAATCTGGGATCCCCAGGCCTGCTGGCAAAACCATGTCTTCAGGGCCTTTCGGAAGAATATTAAGGTGGGGGCCAGTCTTATCTCTGTGGGGATGATGTTCCACAGGGAGGGAGTCACTATGGAGAAGGCCATTCTTCTTGGTCCCACTAGATGGACCTCCTTAATGGGGGGGGGGGGGTTTTTAACACAGTGGAGGGGCCTTCCCTTAATAATGTAAAGAATCTGCCTAAATTTTCTATCTCTGTCTCTCCTTCACTCCCATAGCACATTCCAGTCTCTCATTCCATTTAATTGCCCAATTAGTTTTCACTATTCCTCTCCCCTCATCCCCAGTTATTTAACATTCTCATGTGGCTGTTTTGGCAGCTTTTCACCCCCCCCCCCAAAAAGAGATCAGATAACCTGCGAATCTCAAGGTTACCCAACTTTTTTTTTTTTAATCCCTTTGAATGTTTTCATTCTTTCCTTTGGAATGATGGGTGATGAATTCTGATAGTTGACAAATTATTCACAGAAATAATCCTGGGTTGAGTTTGCTGAAGTAGTACTCTTTTGCTATTGCGAATGCAAGCGTCTTTATAAAACCCAAAGCAACTTTTTTACAATGTCTTTTTTAATGGTTTGCTTGCAGAAGTCGTTTTCAGCCCGGGCAGTATCACGTTCTCATCAACGAGCAGAACACATTCTGAAGAACCTGCAACAGGAAGAGGAGAAGAAACGTCTGGGCCGAGAAGCTAGTCTCATCACTGCCATCCCCATCACTCAGGAAGCTTGCTATGAGCCCAGCTGTTCCCCAAGCTCAGAGCAGGAGGAAGAAGGTGCACTCACTTTGTACACTGGAATGTGTCCATTGGCCTGGAGACCCGTATAGCAAGGGATAAAGTCACCACACCCACCCACACAAGGCAGAAATTGTTATTTTTGTATTTATATTATCAGTTATTTCTACTTCTAAGAGCTGCAAGGGGCCATTATTGGTAACATCACCAGAAGATGCAGAGCTGCAATGTTTGTCCCTGGTTTGTTTTTTGGGGAAGCAACTTAATATACCTATTTTCTATGTTGAACGAAGAAAAAAATAATGCCACTGAAATTTAGCAGTTTAATTTTGGGGCAAGGAGGTTAAGGCAGCAAAAATAAGGCACCTGCAGACTACAGGTCAGGAAATGCCCATCCCTATCTTAAATTATTGGTGGTATGACTGCTTCAGACTTCCTTGATTGGTTTCTAGTGCTGAAATGGCCACGGGACACATGATATTGTTTTATTACATGATAAATCTAGGAAGAGCTTCAGATCAGCCTCTGCTAATTTGTTAACCTCCCTGTAGGTTTTTATTTTCTAAGGAAGAACAAATGCTAGCTGTTTGTCAACAATCACTGATTCTGCTGTTGGCAGACCTCCTGAAAATAGAGTTTGGAGGAACTGATGCAAAATACTTTTATATCCCTATATAGATACAATAAAATTAAGTGTATTATTCATTATTATAGTGAGCGAAATGGTTTTCATTGCTGCAGTTGATCAGCAGACTACGTAAATAAAATTTTTAAAAATCTTCTATTGATTTTATCAGTAGAAGAAGTCACCAACCTGGCATCACGCCGTCTGTCTGTGAGTCCATCATGTACTTCCAGTACATCACATAGAAACTATTCTTTTCGACGTGGCTCAGTTTGGTCAGTGCGTTCAGCAGTCAGTGCTGAAGGTAAGGGAACTTTAGATTGGAGGTTAATTGTCTTATGAATGACTTATTGACTCTTCCTTGATTTTACTTCGGTGTTAAAATGTGTTAGCTGGAAAAGGTGCTACCAGACTCCTGATTTTTTGCCACCATAGACTAACACAGCTCTCCTCCTGTAATACATGAAATATGTTTATGTGATCTCCAATGTTGGGGTGTCCTAGATCTCATCATGATGAGATCTTTACTATCCAGGGAGTCATCTCAAGTTAAATCAGCAATTGTTAACATGGATATTATTTTAGACCCTATTATTCTGAGTGTGCCATTTAATGTGGGAGATGATCTTTACGTTAAAACAGTGCCTATGTTGCTTGTGCCAAATCTGCTTATATGACTAATGTTGTTCATTTTCAGTTGGCTTCTCTCACACAGTTAAACTTGATAAAGCCCATATATGTGCCTTATATAAGCAGCTAAGAGTTTCTGGCTCCAGTAACAACCACATCTTTGGGATGATATATGAATCAAATGTTACAAAGAGTGACTCGTGCTTTGAAACTTTTACCCCTCTCTGAATGCTTAAATTTGTTTTGTCAGTAGACTGAAAATTGGTATTCATCTGATGAGTGGACTTGAGGTAATCTAACCCTTATTCAGAATGGGTTTCCTTACAGCCAGACAATAGTTATATAGATAAATAAGAATGACTATAGATGAAACGTCACGATTAATTTGGACTTTACTTCCACCATCTTTTTTTAGATGAAGAGCATACAACAGAGCACACACCGAATCATCACGTGCCGCAGCCCCCACAGGCAGTGTTTCCTGCTTGCATTTGTGCGGCTGTGCTTCCAATCGTTCACTTGATGGAAGATGGAGAAGTCCGGGAAGATGGAGTAGCAGGTACTGTTTTAGTTTAAAGGTTTGGTAAACAATTAAAAATACCTGTACTTCTTTTAGCAGCAAACAGTGCCAACTACTGGAGAAATCTTTGTGTTATACACATACGCATACTCTACATAAGTTTCAGGTTCCATTTGAAAATGGTGCTTCAGAGCACTTTTCAGCAATTCTTTAAAGCAACTGTGTTTTTTCTTGGGATCACACAGCAGCTGCAGAGGGCAGATGCAACATTCACATGACTGTACTGAATGAAATACCTTTCCCAAATTATTCCCCAAATGCTGCACAGTCCTTATGTACATATACCGGTGTGTGTGCACACAAGCATACACACACAGTATAATAATGTATATGTGAGAGAGTATATATGACTGATCAAACCATTAACAAAAATCAGGTGTGTGTGTGTGTTTTTAATCCTGCCTCTCATTTCAAAATTTCTATTAACAAAGATTCCAAATTTAAAAGTCAGATATTTGCATTTGCATTACCTGGCAGTCTATTAACTCAGAGTAAAACTGTGAAATCTTTTAATGTTCTCCATCAATCTTTAGTGTGGCTTTCCATCTCCTTCCATATTCTCCATAAGCTTTTTCTTTAACTATAAAACTATATAGTTTACCCCTTTCCCAGATATGAAATGGGAAAGTTTAGCTTACTGCCCCAAGGTATGGCGCTGATGAAAATACAGTGACCCATTTTTGCTTTATTGCCCTGGTTGGCTGAATATTGAAAAGCATCTTTAGCACAACAGGCAGGCAAATACAGCTGCACTTAAGAGGATTCAGCACCACTGAAGTTCCTAAGCAATCCTGCCCAAGATTTCATGTAAGAATATCTCAGGTTAAGAGCTTCTACTTTTTTCTGTCAAGTTCCTCTGATCCTCCATATGGACCCTGAAGAGCGTGGCCCTGAAATATGGACTGGTTTCACTGGAGTAAATGTTGGAGATGATGGTGGAGAGGATTGAATTCTATCAGAAATTGCAGATTCCGTTTTGGATCACACTTTTTCCTCTGAAGAAGTTTTTCCATGAATCTGGAATAAATTTTCACACTGGCTTGAGACCAGGGATTCCAGCTGACTCTTCATTGTCACATGGATAAAATTCAGGCCCAAAAGGTGGCTGCAATGGAAGAGGTAGCAGCAGCAAAGGATCTGAATTCAGTATCTCATAAGCATTTTGGGGGAAGGGGAATCCACGTGTACGTTATCATAATGGACAGAACAACTGTGCTGTTCTGCCCTGTGCTCCAGTGATGCATTCCTTGAAGACATTTGTGCCCTTTCCCTTCTTTTAGACAAAGGGCAGGCAAAAATATCCCCCACAATAAGCAGATGTGAATTTATAAAAAGTAACGCTTTCCATCATAACTCAGTTCTCTGTTACCATTTCTAATGACAGGAATACACTAAGTTTATACCCTGTTCTAAGCCACAAAGTAACATGTTTGCATTTGGTTAAGTGTCCATTGTCACATGTAAATAGTTTCTTTCTATATCAAGTACTATTCCTGACTTTTAGGACTAAATGTTTAGGACTAAATTGGATATAACTGGCATCACCAAACTATGTTGTGTCAAGTTCAGGCTGAGAACATATGTGGTTTAGGGTTTGGCAAGAACAGGTTTCTATGCTGTGACATCTGGAAATTTGACTAATCTAAAAGTTGTTGTATTTGGAGGCATCGATTTACTTCTGAAGTCAGATCCAGACGAGCTCTCTCCTTTTGTCTCATACAGTGAGTGCAGTGGCTCAACAAGTCTTGTGGAACTGTCTCATTGAAGATCCCTCCACAGTTCTTCGACATTTTCTGGAGAAACTCACTATCAGTAATCGACAGGTAGAGGTTCTGCTTTTCATAAACACACATAAAAGAACTCAGTCAAAACTTTCTTCCAGAGGAGAGTAACTTGCTGGTCCCAGGATATTGTTTATTTGCTTGTTTGACTTATACCCCAATCATAATCTAGTGACTGTCAGTGGCGTCCATAGTATATAATATAACAATCAAAACATCCATGATCTAACTTAAATATAACATCATAAAGCCCAGAATAAAAGCAATAACAACAAATGAAAAAATGAGAATAAATAAAAGATAACATAATTCTTAGACTAGGAGAAATACCTTCTGAAAGAACTCCTTTTTTCAACATCTTCCTGAAGGTCAACAAGAATGGGCCAGCCTGATATCTACAGGGAGGCTATTTCAAAGCAACCTCTTCTAGCTTCAGCCTCCCTCACCTCTCAGAAGTCTGAGGTAAAAAGTACAGTAGTTTCTCCCTAAAGGAACTAATGGGTCAGGTTCATTCCAGCTGGAGCAGGCAGTGTTGAAGATATCCAAGCACCAAGCCATGAAGGGCTTTATAAATCAACACTAGCACTTAAACTGTACCCAGAAATTAAATGGCAACCCATCCAGAGCTTGCAGAATCAGTAATATATGCTCCCAGCACCAAGAGCCAGTGAGTACATGGTCTACTGCATTTTGGTCTAGTTGCAGTTTCTGAGTAGTCTTTAAGGGTAGCACATATAAAGTATATTGCAGTAGTCCAATTGGGTGGTAATGAAGGTGAATCCTCCTGCACCAAGTAAGATTGTAATTGGTGTACCAGCCAAAGCTGAGCAAAGCTTCCACCTTTTGCTCAAGGAGGAGTCCAGAAGGATTCCTGAATCATGAACCTGCTCCTTCACAAGTAGTGTGTGCTTATACAGAGAAAATGCTGGTTTCAGCAGAAAACCCTGAGATGCATGCAGCAGCTCCATCTTATCTGGATGGAAGAGAACAGCTTCAGTCTGTTCTCTTCCATCCAGACCCTCACAGCCTGTGGACACCAAGGCAGGACATTGACAACATCTCTCCTACCACCCAGAGTGGCAATATAAAGTTGTGTGTATGTGTGTGTTTGTGTGTGTGTGTGTATAAAAATAAATAAATAAATAAAGGGGGTGGGGGGAGGGGGGAGAGGACCAAACCCTGTGACATCCACAGTGCAGAGGCCACCAGTGTATCTTCCCAAAGTCCTAGAAACCTCCCAGAAGTTGTCACCCAGTTGTAACTTTTAATGTAACAAAAGGGGAAATTATTAAAAAGGTGAGAAGTAATTCTGTACTAAATAAATTGCATTTAAATTAAATCAAATTTTATCCTGGCCCTGCCCACACTGGAGCATGGATCCTAACAGGTGGATCAAATATGAAATCTGGCCCTTGGCTGGAAAAAAAAAAAAAGCAATGTGCTTCTGTCCTAGTTGGAGCTAATGATAAAGTGTAATTTATTAAGACATGAACAGGCCTTTGTACTCTCTCCCTTCCTTCTGCTTCATCAGCTTAGCTGCAAGAAAGAGATGGGAAAAAATATCTGTCCAAAATTCACTTCAGGTTAACTTGACTGAATCCAAATAAATAGTAGTGAATTTTTACTATGTTTTATTGAAATAAGCCAACTTCAAATTTATGACTTGTTTCAATAAATCATATTTAAGATTAACCAAAGTGTGAGACACTTGTATAAGAGTTCAGTGCATTCAATTTAAAATGAAGGCAAAACTCTCTAATCTCCTGCCAACACCAGAGAACAGTTTATTCAAGTTAAAGATAAACTGGTTAGCATCTAATATAGTCAAAGAACATAAGGAGTTCAAACATTTGAAGACAAGACTAGACATTTATCAGACTAGGGTTCTGTTTAGACATTCTGATCAGGTTTTACAGCTGTCCTGTAAGAAAATGTTCCCTTGTCATTTATGGGAAGACATTCATAATGCTGCAACTTATAAAGATTTTAATTGTGTGCTACCTTAGAGTGTAATAATTGATCCCAGTGCAAGTAGTGAAATTGACCGCTATGCTGTAACAAAACTGAAAAATTCTGCTCTAATTGCAGGATGAATTGATGTATATGCTGAGGAAACTTTTATTGAACATTGGAGACTTTCCTGCTCAAACATCCCATATCCTCTTCAATTACTTGGTAAGTTCTTCTGAGTCCTGGGCATAACCCAAACTGTAAGCATTAATTATGCTCTTATCCAAAGTAGAGTCAATCTGTGATTTTTAAATTGGGCAGTCACAATTAGCATCACATTCAAGAAAGAAATACATCTCCTGTACAGTTTCTCTTACAGTCAATATTTTTGCTAATTATTTGGCTTCAGTTTTCTGAAGATCAAAAGCATAGTTGAATTGTTCTTTTTTCCGGTTGTCCAAAATCTCCTCTGATTTACTAAAGTTCTTCTCCCAAAAGAGCAGAATTAGAGAATTGTAGACCAATAAACTTAGGCTGAATTCTTATGTCAGTGGTTATTATGCTAAGAGCGTTTAGTGTTCTGAACTTAGAAACTTTTGAGTGTTCAGGGAGCTTTTTTTTTTTTTAATCTGCACTCAGTCGTTACCGAC